TTTTTTTTTTTGCAGTACTGGAAAGATGACTTTTTACGATGGAATCCAAAACAATATGGTAATGCTACAGAAGTATTTTTATCATCCAAAAATATTTGGCTTCCAGAATTTTCACTGTATTACAGGTAAAACAACAAAAAAACATTGCTTTATTTTTTTTTTAAACAACTAAAAATTTAGCAATTTTTTCAGTATATCTCAAAAAAAAGAAAAAACCCTATCCCTCACTGATTATTTTATAATAAAAAAAAAGCACAATTTTTTTCCCGAAAATAAATCAGAAGAAGCAATTTTGTTTTATATTTCAGTCATCATTTTGATCAAGCCGTACGTTTGATCAGTGATAACGATGTTCGAGTAAATTATACGGGTCATGTTCGCTATTATATTCCATTTTCAACAGAATCGCTTTGTAAATTGGATGTTAAATTTTTTCCTTTTGATATGTAAGTTTCCTTAATCCTTCCTTTTCTTTCTTTGCACTGTTTAAAGAATATACATTTTAACTGGTATTATTATACTGTTCTATTTACGAATACAAAATTTCCAAATTTTTTTTTTGACAGCTTAATTTTGAGCTGTATTTTTTGTCTGCTAAAAAGTATTCAATTACTGTATTGGCATACTGCCAAACAGATTAGCGCTCTCAAATGACTTTTACTGTGACTAAAGCCGTTGTATTGTTCTGTGTTACAGACAACAGTGTACACTGATGTTCGGTTCATGGGCTCATTCAAATGAGTCTATCAAATATGCACTATACACTAATCTAAGTTTAATTGACTTCTATGACAATCAAGAGTGGGAATTGGACATGGTATATAATACTTGAATAAAAAAAAAAAAAACTCTTGCTTTATTTTAATAATAATTAAACTTCTTTACAGTATCGCTGACATTTTATGCCATCAATAATTGTTCACAAAATTTTTGCAGTTCACAATTGAAAAAAAAAAAACAATTTGAAAAAACAAAACAGTACAGTTATTAACAGTATAATAACAATTGTACTTTTTTTTTTAGACGCACAGTAAAATTGTTTCTAAACCAGTCTTGTATGATTACTTGGATCCACCGTTGTATTGGGATATGATCATTATGGATGTTGTAGTTGCCAGACAAAGTTTCTACTACGGTAACAGTTACTTTTTTTTTCTTTTTTTCAATTGCTATTAAGCAATAGAATTTTTTTACATACCTTATAATTTTACTAAAATCAACATTTGAAGTGAATAGATTGTTGCAAATTTTAAAAAGCAAAAGAACTATTTGTTAACATTTTAATTGACCGACATCAATTGTTCATTGGGTTTATCTATTGCCACGATCTCTATTGCTTTAGTTACAATGGCTTTTGCTCTTATTTTTTTGCAAACTAGAAATTTAATTCAACTTTTTAAAAAATGCCTTTTTGCTTACTTACAAATATATCTGTAATTTTTATCGCTTATTAATGTTACTTATTAGTAAGCTTTGTTTTTTTTCCTTTTAGTAATACTTAGGATACTTTTCTTCTGGCTTTAGCTCTGTTTATAGTTTAATATTGACACTGCCTTTTTTCACGCATAAAAAGTCACTTTTTTGATGGTTTTTTTCAGTGCTATTTATAAAGTTGCTCCTTTTTTTTCAATAGCTATCAACTCAAAGAACAAACCACGAGAAAACTTACGAACGACTAATATTTAACTGTAGTAATATCTAAGGGCTGTTATGAGTAAAGAAAAAGATTTTTCAAATTAACACAAACAAATAAACACAGAAATTGAAAGAAAAAAAAAGAGAAAAATTGAAGAAACAAAGGATGTTTGTTTGTTGATAAATGTCGACTTAAATAATACATTTATATGTAACCTAATGCTGATTTTATTTTTTTTAAAATTACTAAATACTTTTGTGGTTTGTAAATCAGACAGCGTATCAGTTTTTTATAACCATTTAGAAAAATATTAGAGGAAAAAAATCAAAGACAAAAAATAGTGATTGAAAGTGGGTGCTAATGAAATGCAACATATCTGAATCAACATGTAATTCTGACATCATTTTTTACATCATTTTTTTCGTTCAGTAAATATATGTCGACTTACAATTAATGAATAATGTTCAACAAACTGAGAAATAAAAACTGGATGTATGTACCGGAAACAACGGGTCGCTGGTAACTGAGTTATTTATGGCAGCTTAGTCTAATCGGGTCTATGTTTTCACTGCTAATTTTTGGTTCTAAAAACAAGAAGAATCAAAGTTAAACCAAATTTATTCTTGAGCATTGGTGTACAGTAGCTAACCAAAAAAATGATATATAAAACGGTAGAAAAGATAACAATAAAAACTGCTAGAACTTCAGGACCAAGTTTTATTGTATTGTTTTAAACTGACATAGTTTAATGTAAACTGTCCTACAATAGGCGCTCGGTACGTCTTTTATATTTCTAATTTCTAGTCTATCTAATTACTGTTGAAAAATTTTGTAAATATAAAGTCCAAAATACATCTTTTTTTACTTTGTTTAACTGTTAACTGTTAAACAATTTTTTTGATCAAAGGCAGATTTGAAAAAACACAATTTTTCAAAGATTATAACTGCAGTTTTTAAATATTAATTTAAATCGGTAAACTGTAATTGATTTAAAGTAATAAATTTCAAAAAGAAAATTTTTTTTGATTTACAGTGTTCAATTTGGTGATTCCCAGTACAATCATCACGCTGGTAGCAGTTATTGGATTCCATACTCCAAGTACCAGTGGAAAAATGAGGTAATTTAACAGTTTTATTTTACTAATAAACGAATACTAACAAATAGTTTTTTTTTGTTTGAATCACTGTTTTTTCTTGCTGAAAATGAATAATTTTATGCTCAAATTTCATTGCTATTGTTTCTTAGTTGAAGATAATTTTCAGAGATGCAAAATATCGTTTGGGAATAATGACACTGATGAGTATGAGTGTTATCCTTTTAGCAATTGTTGAGGATATGCCTAAGTTCAGCATGTCAAGCACTCGGCGAGGACGTGGTTCATTTTCTGGTATCCCATTAATAGGTATCTGTTTTATATTTTATATTTCAATCTATCTGATGTAAAAAAAACATTAACTATATGTAACGATATGTAATTTTAAGGATTATATTACTTTATACTTCTGGCAGTAATTGGTCTATCAACAGTGACAACATCAATGTTTGTATTTTTGGAACGTGATGTTAAGGGTACCGAACAGATGCCGTGGTATCTGCGATGGCTGTCTTTTGATATTTTCAATAAAAAATTAAAAAGGTTTGTTGCTATAATTCAATATTACTGAAGAACTAACAGCTATAAATACTTTACTAATCATCGGCAGTAATTGGCAACCCAAAAAAATATTGATACCATATATATGTTTGGTATTAAAGAGTTCGCAATTTTTTGACGTTTATTTTTTCTTATTTTTGAACTTTAACAGTTAAATATTAGTCATTTGTATGTTTTAGTTTTTAGCTGATATATTAAACGTTATACAGTTAGCAGCCTTATAATACGAGTTTCATTCGTAAAAAAATAAAAATAAATTTTTGGTCATTCTGATCTTTAAGACTGTGGTTGATTTTAGTTTGAATGAAAGTGTACAGTTTACCATGCGAAAGTTTGTGAAGCGATTAAATGTGTTACTTTTAAAATAAGTAACAAATTAGACGACAAAATACTTACAATGAGAGTATAATTTTTGAGTTTAAGCGAATTTTTCAAGACAACAAACTGCAAGAAGACTTTAAGCCAAGGTTAACAGTCTCACTTTTAATTTAGAAGCAAAGTTTTTATTTTAAACGTTTTTGAAAGATTAGTGAAGTGTGAAAAACTTGCAAAGCAGTCTGTTAACACCAGAAATCTGCCTGATCAACTAGCGTCTCTTAAAAAAGTGCAGAAATTTTAATGACTATGATTACTCAAAATTTGTCATATAGTAACTTAAAGTCTTAAGTTGTTTATTCAGGCAGTTTAGCGTTGTCTAAACTAATAAAAACTTAAGAATAGAAGCGGGCAAAAACTGGTAAAAACTGTATAAACCAGGCTATTTTAGAATTTTCAAAAGTGGTCTTTTCAACCAAGTTGAGGTCGTCTAGAATTGAATCTGAGAGAATGTTTAGGTTGTCTATTTACAAAAAGTGATAATTCTTGGTTTTTTTAAAAAAAAAAGTAAACGATGCAAACAGTTCATCTTCTTTGTAGAATGATTTTATTGGTAAAATCTGTTCCGAAATTTTTACTTTTTGTGTAAAAAAATGTGCCGATTAATGCTCTAACAGTTCACAATTTTTAGAGCTGTAGCAGAGCAGAGGCGAAACTCTGGTGAAGCATTACCGACAGTAAGTTTTTTAGACTGACAACAGCAAAAAAAAAAAAAAGTTTAATAAACTTAAAAAAGTCAGGAAGAGTTTTCCTTGTTTGTTCGGCAAATAAGACTGATAATATCAGTTTGGTATTAGTGCAGTTGTGAATAAAAAAAGAGAATTTGAAATTTTTTAAAGGATGCTTTATTGACTTTTGAAAACACGAGCTTTGGTAGCAACTGGCATTTGCAAAACGAAAGGATCAAAACTAACACACGTTATGTGGCTAATTCGTTAGCTGCAATGGTACCCACAGAACTTCTATCAATGCATATTGATACACAAAAGTTAAAAGTAGGTTTATCAGTTTATTTTTGCTCAAATAATTTTGTTGCACTAGACAGAAGAAAAAGAATAAACTTTCAAAAATTTTGGTCAAGATGTATTTTAACCTGAAGGTATGTAATACCTATAGATCACTAAAATCTCTTAGTGAAGAAATTTAAAATAAAATGTTATCTAAGGTCACTGTAATAGAATTGTTGCTTTGCAGACCAATTCACCATCTGCCGAAAACTTTAGCAAAAGAGCAGCCAAATCCTATCATGATTTGGCGACCTTCTGTGACAATATTAAAGATCTGTTAAACAACCTTGTTTTGGTAGTGGCAAAAATTGAAGATTCTGTGCATGAAATACGGTTAGTTCGATTGTTTCATATCACTTTTTAGTTGTAAGAAAAAGAAAGAAGTTGAGCAGTCATTCTAGTGCAAAAAGTGCATTGTTGCTGTTCTAGTCAAATTGTTTTGGGCTTAACTACTCAAAACAAATAATAGATGAATATAAAAGCATATCTTATTAGCAGTCATAAAGAAGAGTTCGACAAATTTTGAAGACTCTCAATAATGCTAACATGTTGTTTAAGCACTTCTTGGAATGAAAAAAAGAGACTTGTTTACTCAGTCTAATTAACTCAAAAACAAACTTGAGCTTTTATGACAGATTTGCGCTTAAAAGCATAACATATCACCGTTCAACAATTCCATTAACCACTATAACTGCGTATATGCATGTAGACATATATTTTTCATTTAACTGCTTTTCTGTGAATGAATTTAAAAAAAAAAAAAAAAAAAGAAAAGATTCAAACATGCAATTCAAACGTTCAAGAATATTTTAGCGATGATATGATGGCAATGTTACCTCAAGAGGATTTACGCGACAAAAGGGAAACAGCAATTAAACGTTTGGAGATGTTGTCGTTGGTATTCTATGTATCGCTGGTATTAATCGCAATGTTTTTGTTCTTCTACCATGATTGGTACTGTGCAGTTGGACATAATCCATGCAACAATGAGGATCTAAAGTGTCCTTGGATGAAAACTCGGCCAAATGATCCATCCTGTTTACCGTGATATTTTTATCGGACTTGCATCGATACACTTTTCTCCTCAAAATTTGTCATTATTCAGTGATTCGTTTTTTTATTTTTTGTTTCTTTTCTGATTGTACTTAGTGGGTACCTCCTAAAACAGTCTTTCAATAGCGTGAATGGATGTTCTGCGAGGCAGTAATTGATACTACAAGTAGCTAAAACTGAATCAGTCAATTGCCGTTGTAGGTCAGATAAGACTAGAAATTAATTCTTAACAGGTATTTAAATGCAGAAAATATAAATAATCGTTTACGTTACTGCTTTATTTAACAGGGTCATGTATCTGATAGCTATGACATAAAAAAAAAAAAAAAAAAACGCTGTTAATGTTAGACTTGAAACTTTAAAATTTTTAAAAGAGCAATTTTGCTCTTTCTTTTGAAATTTCAACCTATTTTTAGTTCAAAATTGGAAGAAAATTAAACAAAATTATTAGAATTTAGTTTTGCGAAAAACTGGCTAGTTTAATATTATAATTTATCAATAAGAAAGACAAAAATAACTACACGTACCTTAGGTATGGAATTTTTTATTGACTATCAATTCGTGTATTTTTCTTTACTGTTTTTTTCAAAATTGTCAGCAGTAGATGTCAAATTACTCCACATGATGAAAGCTTTATTGAGCAAAAAACTGAAACTGATATTTCTGTCTGTTGCACTTAAAACGTCAACATTTTTAGCCGGTACTGTCATAATCTGCATTTATCGTTTTGATCAAAACCCTCAGAACACCCATTCTGTATTACACTACAGTTTACTGAGAATCTCTCAAACAGATTCGCAACTTTTAGTCAAATTTTTTGTTTTGCTTTATCATTTCACTCCTGTATAGGTGTAAATTTAGTCGGTATACCAATATAACCGATTGATTGACCATATATGGCGTGTGCAGATCTGTAAGGCTAAATGTTGCTATGCCTTGTGTTTTTCAAATGCAATTTTCAAAACCTTCTTTTCTTCTGAATA